TTACTATTCCGGAAAGAATTTCGGTCAAATACTGGACTGTCCGGATTAGACCTAAATTTTTTCCGGTCATTACATTCTTCCTCTAAGGTTTGTTAATGGCTTATAACTAAAGGAGTATAAGAAAATTTGAGAAGAATAGTTCTATATCTCAAACTTTACTAGAACATAAAAAGAGAGAGTTTAGAGTTGCTTTGTATTTATTAGCTTTTTTTTTTTTTGTTGTCTTGCAGATTTGAAAAATAATGAAGAGATGAAAAAACTAGGAGAAGAGATGCTTAAACACTGTCATGGTTTGCCATTAGCCATTATTGTGCTTTGTGGACTTCTCTCAACGAAATGCACAATTGAAGAGTGGGACAAGTTGCGTGAGAATGTGAAAGATTATATAAACAAAGGCAAATTAGTGCATGCAGAACAAGAATACCATAGCGTTTCCTCTATATTAAGCTTGAGCTATGACGAGCTGCCATATCAATTAAAGCCATGTTTTCTGCACTTGGCCCATTCCCCAGAAGATCATGAGATCAAGGTCAGCCGATTATGTCATACGTGGATAGCAGAAGGTTTCATTTCATTGGATCAACAAACACAGAGTTCAATGGATGACGATGTAGCATATCATTACTTGACGGAGTTATTGGACAGAAACATGATTCAATTGGGAAGATTGGGTCCAACTGGAAGAATAAAATCATGCCACATTCATGATCTCATGAGGGATATGAGTTTGTTCAAAGCTCGAGATGAAAATTTTTTGCTATTTTTTGATCTGAGGAGAAGAGACAAGGTATTGCCAAGAAATAAGGTACGGAGACTTGCCATCTATACTGATTGTGGTTTTGATGATTTACTTCCCTTTATTAATGGCAGAGATGGCTCTCTTAGGTCTCTTATATATTTTCAACCGTCGTGGTCTCAACCTTCGGAGAAAGTATTGAAACTTTTTTTGAATCACTTTAAGTTCCTTAGAGTTTTGAGACTCGAAGCTTTTGATTCAAATACTTATTGCTCATGGGAGTTGCCTAAGGAAATTGGGAAACTTGTCCACTTAAGGTTGTTTAGTATTCGTGGTAGCAGGGTGGACAAGATCCCATCTTCTATTGGGAATTTGAGATGCCTGGAGACTTTAGATTTGAGGTCAGAATATGCAGAAATACCAAATGTGATATGGACGTTGGAGCAATTGCGACGTTTATACTTACCTACCCGTGGTGGGTATAATCGTCACAGTAAAGATCATTTACGACTGCCCAATGTCAAGAATAGTTTGCAAACATTGTGCAATGTTTTCACAGATCGTGTTAATGTAAATGATTTTTTGCAACTGACTAATCTCAAGAAATTAGTCCTCGTGGTGGGTGAAGACTTGGGGAGAATCTACCACAATTACACAGGCGTCAAATTTACTTGCGTCAGCTCTCTATCGTTGTTGGCTGAAGACTATGTGCTCGGAGCTATTGAAGACATTATACCTGTAATATCATGTTATCCTGAAATTTATGAGCTTAAAGTGCGCATGCCAATAATAAGGTTACCAGAAGAGCACCAATTCTCCCATAAACTTGAGAGGTTATCCTTAACCTGGACGCTTCTCGAGGATGACCCAATGAGAACGATAGAAAAGCTACCCAATTTAAGGGTCCTCCACTTTGGTCATAAGAGCTTTCGAGGGAATGAGATGGTGTGCTCAAAAGGTGGTTTCCCTCTACTTGAATCTCTTTCCTTTGAGTGCTTGCCGTTCTTGGAAGAGTGGAGGATAGAGGACGGAGCATTAACTAGTCTTTGCTATCTGAGGATTCGTGATTGCTATCGCTTGAGGAAGCTTCCAGATGGATTAAGAAACGTCACAACTCTCAAGGAAGTGAAGGTTGAAAACTTCGACTGGCCGGAACACACAAAGGCACTCTTAGAGGTAGAAAGAGAGGATTTCTACAGCCTGTACTTTCACTTGTAATCCTTAATAGGTAAGTTTTTCAATCACACAGTCCCTTCCACTTAAAAGGTTAACGTAGTCCAAGTCCTTTTAAACTCAATATTGTAATTCTATGTCTACCCTATATAGGACTTTGTCGGCACACTTCGAACAATAATTTTTTTATTTGTCTAATATTTCTTATTTATATAACACCTTTTTGTAGACCTCCAATGTTTAATAATTTATTGGGCGTGCAGTGAGGACACAGAGTGGATATAAGTATGTGTTTGAGTGGAGCTTTGACCAGAATAAGAGTTTGGCCCTTAGGCCCCTGCTGCCATTATCGGAGTTTCTTCTTTGTTCCAAAAAATATATATTTTTAATTATGAATTAGTGTGCTTAGTTATATTTTTACCTTCATTTACATCTTCATTTAGATGTCATACTTGAAAAGAATAGGAAAATTGAGAGAACAATGTGATTAAGTAATAATTCTCATCACCGTCTTTGTTATAGTTGTTACCCTGGTAAAAGAGTTATTCTATTATTAGAAGAATTTTTTACATCTTCTCGTTGCTTTTTTTTTTTTTTTTTCAATTTCTTTTCTTGTTTTTTTTTTTTTTTTTTTTTTTTTTTCTCAATATGCTTTTCATGGTTTTATATGAGAATCAAAAAGGGAATAATTTTTCCTTCGACTTGTGTATCATGCACCTTTAATCATCAATTTGGATCAAAACACTATAGAGTAGTTTGGCTTTTAAAAACAGTTATACTCTTGGAATTAGTGAGTTTCTTGTAGATATCAAAATTGAAAAGAAAAAGTAAAATTGAAACAATTTTAAGATTAAGTAACAATTCTTATTACAGTATTAATTATAGATTATACGGTGGTAAATAGACAATTTTAGTTGTTGGAGGAATTTCTATTTTTCTAAAATAATAATGGGCTTAGAGAATGAACAATGGAGAATTTGATGAAATATGTTTTCTTGTATATTTCATTAACATTACACGATATATATACAAAAATATTGCAAATCAACTCTACCTAATTCTAAGGCTTAGAAACCGTGATCCCATTTTAGTGGGATTTTGATTTACACTAACTAGGGAAAGCAAATATACAGAATATGGTAATATATTACAACGATATTTCTTAATACTCCCCCTCAAGTTGGTTAGTGAATATCATGAAGTCCCAACTTGTTGCGTAGACTCACAAATTGATCCTTTCCCCGAGCTTTTGTAAATACATGTGCTGATTGTGAATGCGAAGGTACAAATGATTCCTGCTTGCATTTTTTCTCGTACTATATGACAGTCTATTTCAATGTGCTTTGTACGTTCATGAAAAACTAGATTGGCTGCAATGTACAAAGTTGCTTGATTATCACAGAATAATGGTGTAGGAGCTACCTGCGGGACTTTTAAATCATGTAATATATAGCGCAACCAAGTTAGCTCCAAACATGTGTTGGCCATAGCTCGATATTCTGCTTCGGCTGATAATCTAGAGACATTGGTTTGCTTCTTGGATTTTCATGAGATAACAGAATTTCCAAGGAAAATACAGTACCCTGTAACTGACCTTCTTGTGGCACGACAGCCTCCCCAATCTGAGTCGCAAAAGGCTTTCAAGTTAAGATTGTTGTTGGAGGGCAATAGTAAACCCTCCCAAAAGGCTTTCAAGTTATTGCTTTAATTTTTTTTTTTTTACAATTCCAAACCCTCCCAAAAGTTTAAAAAGTAAATGAAAAATAAATTTTAGTTGTTTGAGATACTAATGTTGTGGCCTTGGCCTTGTATGTTTAGACTTCTTTCATCCTTCCTCAAAAGTGATTGTTTAGACTTCTTTTGTTCCAAATAACTCCAAATCAATCCAAAGTCCTCGCTCCTACCTATCCTATAAAACAAACACGAAAGTGAACGTAAATCTTGTACTAGAAACTCAAAAACCAACAAAAAGTTAAAGATCAAAACAGCAAACTTGCGAGCATAAAATTCACTCATCACCATTTTTTTGAATTTGATGTAGTGAAGACGTTAAATTCGTTGACTATAGAAGGAGTACTAAAATTTACTCAGAGACGTTAAGAGAACTCTCAAGGATTTTATTAATGATAGCCAAAACTAAATAACCAAAATAACAATAAAGATCTTAAATTGTGTTATCAAGGAAAATCCCGAAACCCAGAGAAATCCCTAAACCCAGTGTTTATCAAGGAAAATACCCAGCGACAAACAAAGCCCTTTACCCAGATTTTACCAGTAACCAAATACTATCTCTCAGATTTCTCAACTACAATTTGACCGACTTTAGCCTTCCATGTGTTCTCAGCTGGTTGGCTTTCATTTTACTAACCAAAATGTTGTGCTTCAGTTCTTCAGCAAATGACATAATCTTCTAACTTTTTGTGCAACCAATGTCTCATTTATGGAGTGTCGCTTTCAAGCAATTACTCTCACAAATAGCAACTATAACAAAAATCCTACCTCTAATTAAGTTTGAAATTCAAATTCTAAAGCTTATCATTTTGAGAAAATCCTATGTCTAATTGAATTTAAAACCCAAATCTTAAAGCTTATTATAAAAAGAAATAAACATAATTATCCTAAAATAAATAAATCATGCTAAAGATAAGGCCTAATTTGAAATACAAACAATTAGAAATAAAATTGCGAAGGATAAGCTATAAGGCTGCATCATTCCCTCCGATGAAGAAAACTCATCCTTCGAATCTAAAAAGGCTTCAATTGATATGAGTATCGAACAATATGTTTCGCAAATTCTTAATGATTCAATTTCACAGCAAATAATTTGTTGAAGCCGCTAAAACTATCCATTTTTTAATAAGGCAAAGCAAAATTTATGATGTCAAACTTCAACATAAATGTTTTAAGAGCTACGTCTTTAATAGCCTTAAGAACTACTCTGACTCCAATACACTTCCCATTAACCATAAATGATCTTATGTGCCAGACACATACTCCACAAACGAATTGAACTCAAATGACCCCTAAGACTAGGAACAACTCAAACAAACATCAGAAATCAAAAAACTAATCCTGTAGACTCGGTCAAACAATGACCACAACTCGTTTTATTATATATATATATATATATATATATATGATAGAACTTTAGGATCCAAATAGAAGCCACAGGATCCAAATAAAACTGTACTATACGTATTTACTAGCTTTTTTTGTTGTCTTGCAGATTTGAAATATAATGAAGAGATGAAAAAACTAGGAGAAGAGATGCTTAAACACTGTCATGGTTTGCCATTAGCCATTATTGTGCTTTGTGGACTTCTCTCAACGAAATGCACAATTGAAGAGTGGGACGAGTTGCGTGAGAATGTGAAAGAATACATAAACAAAGGAAAATTAGTGCATGCAGAACAAGAATACCATAGCGTTTCCTCTATATTAAGCTTGAGCTATGACGTGCTGCCATATCATTTAAAGCCATGTTTTTTGCACTTGACCCATTCCCCGGAAGATCAAGAGATAAAGGTCGACCAATTATGTTATACGTGGATAGCAGAAGGTTTCATTTCATCGGATCAACAAACACAGAGTTCAATGGATGAGGATGTAGCATATAATTACTTGACGGAGTTATTGGACAGAAACATGATTCAAGTGGGAAGATTGGGTCCAACTGGAAGAATAAAATCATGCCACATTCATGATCTCATGAGGGATATGAGTTTGTTCAAAGGTCGAGATGAAAATTTTTTGCAATTTTTTGATCTGAGGAGAAGAGACATGGTATTGTCAAGAAATAAGGTACGGAGACTTGCCATCTATACTGATCGTGCTTTTGATGATTTACTTCCCTTTATTAATGGCAGAGATGGCTCTCTTAGGTCTCTCATATATTTTCAATCTTCGGGCTTTGCACCTTCGGAGAAAGTATTGAAACTTTTTTTGAATCACTTTAAGTTCCTTAGAGTTTTGAGACTCGAAGCTTTTCGTTCAATTCAGGGTTCATTGAAGTTGCCTAAGGAAATTGGGAAACTTGTCCACTTAAGGTTGTTTAGTATTCGTGGTAGCAGTGTGGACAAGATCCCATCTTCTATTGGGAATTTGAGATGCCTGGAGACTTTAGATTTGAGGTCAGAATATGTAGAAATACCAAATGTGATATGGAGGTTGGAGCAATTGCGACGTTTATACTTACCTACCCGTGGTAGGTATAAACGTCACAGCAAAGATCGTTTACGACTGCCCAATGTCAAGAATAGTTTGCAGACATTGTGCAATATTTACACAGAGGATGTTAATGGATTTGAGGTCAGAATATGTAGAAATACCAAATGTGATATGGAGGTTGGAGCAATTGCGACGTTTATACTTACCTACCGGTGGTGCGTATTATACTTTCAGCAAAGATCGTTTCCGACTGCCCAATGTCAGGAATAGTTTGCAAACATTGTGCAATGTTCGTACAGAGCATGTTAATGTAAATGATTTTTTTCAACTGACAAATCTCAAGAAATTAGTACTCGTGGTAGGTAAAGACTTGGGGAGAATCTACTACAATTACACAGGCGTCAAATTTACTTGCGTCAGCTCTCTATCGTTGTTTGAAGACTCGTTGTTGGCAGATGCTGAAGACATTATACCTGTAATATCATGTTATCCTGAAATTTATGAGCTTAAAGTGAGCATGTCAATAATAAGGTTACCAAAAGAGCACCAATTCTCCCATAAACTTGAGAGGTTATCATTAACGAGGACGTTTCTCGAGGATGACTCAATGAGAACGATAGAAAAGCTACCCAATTTAAGGGCCCTCCACTTTGGTCCTTCTAGCTTTATAGGGAATGAGATGGTGTGCTCAAAAGGTGGTTTCCCTCTACTTGAATCTCTTTCCTTTGATGGCTTAGTCTTGGCAGAGTGGAGGATAGAGGACGGAGCATTAACTAGTCTTTGCTATCTGAGGATTCGTGATTGCCATCGCTTGAGGAAGCTTCCAGATGGATTAAGAAACGTCACAACTCTCAAGGAAAGGGAAGCAAAGTAGATTAGAAGAATTTGAGAGAACATTGTGATTAAGTAAGAATTCTCATTACCGTCTTTGTTATAGAGTTATTCTATTTATTAGAAGAATTTTTTACATCTTTTTTTTTTTTCTCAATATGCTTTTAAAGGTTTTATAAGAGAATCAAAAAGGGAATAATTTTTCCTTTGACTTGTATATCATGCACCTTTAATCATCGATTTGGATCAAAACACTAGAGTCTTAGGCTTTTAAAAACAGTTATACTCTTGGAGTTTCTTGTAGATATCAAAATTGAAAAGAAAAAGTAAAATTGAAACAATTTTAAGATTAAGTAACAATTCTTATTACAGTATTAATTATAGATTATACGGTACGAAATAGACAATTTTAGTTGTTGGAGGAATTTCTATTTTCTCCCATATTTCTTTTGATCCTTTCCAATCCACCTTTTAGCACCAATTTAGATCTAAATATTGTAGAGTCGTAGGTAACCTTTAAAGATAGTTACACTCTCGTAAAGTAGTAACATTCATACATATACATATACATATACATACATATATATATATGTAAAACTTGAAAAAATATTTACACTCTCGTATAATGTTTTTTTTTTTTACATCTTCTCCCGTATATTTTCATTATGCTCTATTACCTATTGACCTTTTTCTTTTCGTTCATTTTATTTAACTTCCTTCTTGCCATTGCTTACTCACGTTTGTTACAGTTGCCGTCTTGAGGTTATTGTCGTTTTAGTATTCATGTTCTCTTTCTATTGTCTTCGCTTTCCTCTATTTTTGTCGTTCATTTATATTGATGTCACCTTTTTGTTATTGTTTTTTTATATGTTTTTTCTTAATCACTGTCGTTTATATATTGACGAAAGTTTTGGTATTGTTGTTCTTGGAGGTTCTTGGGCCTTTCTAAGTTTACGCTGCCCTCCACCAGTTACGACTATCTTAGTTTTGTTCTGAAGATACTCCTTGGTGCAACTCTTTAGTTTTTTGTTGTTTCATTACCTTGTGTTATTTAGTTGTCGTTTTGTGATTTCTGTTATCGTTTTTGTTATAATAGGGCTTATGGTCCTTGTTTGGGTTCGAAAGAACATTGTAATTTCATCCTTTTTTCCTGGAACTTTTTTTTTTATTACCTTAACATTTTGAAACCCTTACATACTATTATTGAGTTTGATTCGTTCTGAAAATAGAAGAATTATTAATTAAAAAGTCAAAACTGTATAATTTATTAACCGAGTAAAATCTTGATTTAGTTTAGGGGTTCAAAGAAACCCAAAAGCATAGAAAACACATACCCACACGCACACAAATAACTCGATACTTATGAAAAAAATAAACAATGACAAGCGCCCAAAATAACACGATTCACAAATAATAGTAATTGAAATCATAATTGATCATAATTAAAGACATTATTCGGGTGAGAATTGTCGAGATTAGAAGGTTTAAGAAATCTATAAGAGAGTGATAAAGTTCAAATCTAGAGAAAATAAAAGATGTGCAAAAAAAATGAGGAGAATATTGAGATAAGAGACTACAGTAAAATAGATAATGAAGCTAAAAAGAAATACATGGAAAAATTAAATTACCAAAAAAGAAGAAAATAGAAAAAGATAAAAAGTCATTTCTAGAATATAATGGTAGATAAATAGAGTTAAAAAAAATGAATTAAAAAAGGTAAAACATAGTTAAAAGAAATAAGGATTAAAATAGTTTTAAGGGTGACAAACTATATATAAGACAAATGGAGTAAAACAAAAGGAAAGAAAAGTAATGCAAGAGAAAGAAAGGAAAAATAAACGTTAAAAATTTAACAAAAGCAAAAAAAACAAAAAAAAAAAAAACAACTAACAACTCCAAAACGTCCAAAACTGTACGTTTTGGACGACAAAAATTGCTACATGGAGTGCCTTTTTACTCTTTTATGTGCATAGTTATTAAAAAAGGGACATTTTTTCAGTACTAATAGGTTAAGTTTTTTATCTGTTGAATTTATATAAAATCATGTAAAAATAAAAAATATATATAAATTTAATGATTAAAAAAATCTAACCTACTAATACTCTAAACGTATTAAAAAATCTCTCTTAAGAAAAAGCTTTACCAGAAAGACCCCTAAAAACTAAAGGCTCACAAAATCTACACCACTGATATGATTGACCGTTACATGATATATGTGCCACTTGACTAGTCTAACAAATTTGGAGTTCATGAAAAAAGTAAAGGGCAATAGTTCATTTGTAGGACAAGGCGCCACTTCTTTTAGGACTTTATCAAACAGTGCCAATTGTTGCTTTCATAATTCCGAAAGCAACAACATTCAAACCCACCCCAACTTTAGCTCCACCTAAACTCCCTTTTCCCAAATACCAAAAACCAAAAGCATATTGACCCCACTACCCCCCACCACCTCAATCAAAAGCCTCTTTTCCACTTTACTTAGTTTAATAGACTTCCTAATTATTTAAACAAACAACCTTCTTATCTTTTCTTCTCCATTGCTTTCCCTTTCACTGCTTTCATTTTGTTCTTGAACATTTCCACAACATGCTCACCCTTCCTGCTCCTCCGTCTCCAAGTCCTCAGTCACCATTACCACTGCCACCGCCACCGCCACCGCCACCGCCGCAGCCACAAAAGCATGTCACACCAGTGTCCCTTAACAAAATCATCATATCAAAGCAAGCTCATGCAAATAGTGAGACAAGAGCCCCCAAAACTTCAAACATTATCCACACCAAGAACTCAACAAAGCAGTCAATACTCAGGCAAACCCAACCCCACCGGACCAACCCCTTAGTATGGTGCTGCGCAATTCTTTGCCTCATATTCAGCCTCCTCCTCATCTTCTTCGGTGTCTCGACTCTCATCATCTTCCTAGTCGTTAAACCAAAAACCCCACTCTTCGACACCCCAAACGCGCGCCTAAGCACCATCTACTTCGACTCGCCTGGGTACTTGAACGGAGACTTCACCTTCCTCGCAAACTTCTCAAACCCTAATCGAAAACTCGACCTAAGATTCGAGTACTTAGCCATAGAGCTTTACTTCGCGGACAGGCTCATATCGACTCAGTCTCTTCAGCCTTTCACTCAAAGGCCTAGAGAAACAAGATTGGAGGCAATTCACTTGATATCAAGCTTGGTTTACTTGCCTCAAAACCATGCAGTGGAACTTAGAACGCAAGTCCAAAGCAATAGAGTTAATTACAATATAAGAGCAACTTTCAGGATTAGGGCAACACTGGGGATTTTTCACGTTTCTTACTGGTTGCATAGTAGATGCCAACTGCAAATGTCAGGTCCTCCTACAGGTATCTTAGTTGCTAAAAGCTGCAGAACAAAGAGATGAAGATTTTATTACGGAGTCTTTCTGCAGTAGGACCTCCAACAACCGATAGTGTATGTTTTCTAAGCGTCGAGTCTTATCCAAAACACTCAAATAAAAAATATGCTGAAAAACAGAGTCCTATCGGTAGCACATTTTTTCAAGTCCTGCTATAGAAATCTCTTTATATTATAGGATAATTTTGATCTACTTTGATTGAGATGTATATGTATACATGTCTAAACTACTATCTATATATATGAACACAAAATTTTTTCAAGCAATACATCGAATCAGGAAACAGGGTCTTTGTCAAATTAATATGTTCTTGCCGTTGTAATTAATTTGGTTTTTAGCACTTACGCTTATTGAACTTTTTGTGATTCGATATTTATGTTTGAAATGTTCTTTCGTGACAAATTAGTTCCTGAATTTACAGACGAAGTAATAGCTCATTAAATTTTTTTTCAAGAAAGTAAATAAAAGAATTCAATTGTTTATACTTTATCGGAGTTAAACAAATTTCTAAAAAGGAAAAACAAGTTTCATAGTGGCTAAAAAGTACTATAAATATGTTTAAAATTTTGGTCCATAAATAATTCGCATTAATTATTGATATTTTATAAATTCAATGATTAAGTTGCCAAAATAAATTAAGAACGAGAGTATATCAAACCACAACAAGCATTAGATGTCAAAATTTATTTTATCATTTGGATGTTAATCCTTGTTGGCTAGCTAAGACCACACAGAGAAAGTAAGCAAAAACCACCAAAATTAAGAAAATAACATGAGATGTATAAAGAGATAAAAAAAAAAAGGAGTGCCAACATGATAAGCTCAAATCATCCCCACCCAGGAGGAGAAAAGAAGAAATGGCCAAAAAAAAAAAGGCAAAAAAGGGAAGCTCCATTATTCCGGTTTTTAATTTAGAAACTTTTTTTTGGATTACGATGTAGTAAAGCTGAAAATGTGGAAAAAGTTTAGTCGGTCATGGACATGAAGAATCAACTAGAATCCCATGGTGATTTCCTTGTCATAACACTTTTTCATTTTTAATTTGGATGCATAATTCAATAATGACTACTATAATGTTATTTTAAGTCTCTTTTTCTTGTTTCTAACTGTATCTCTCAATAATAACATGTCACGTCATGAGTTTTTAATTAACGTGACCAGAATTTTTAATTGACGTATCACAATATTACTCAAATCAACATGGTGGGACATAAAAGAGAACAAAAATAAGAGAAAACATGAATTAGTTCTCAGGTGTATGGATTAAGATTCATTTGAATGGAAACTCAATTCAAAAGGGTGTCACAATACGACTCAAATCTTATTCAAATAACTAACTGATAAATGAAATAAATTTCAATCAGTTAATATTATATAAAATTAATATGGATAAATTTTTTTTTACAAATTTAATTTCAATAAATGAAAAACTAATAAAATTATTGATTTAAATTCACGGACGAAATAAAAATAAATAGATTTAATTTCAATAAATAAAAACACTAATAAAATTATTGATTTAAATTCACGAATAAAATAAAAATAAATAGATTGATTATGTTAGTAGAATATTGATACTCAAATTAATTATATTTGTTGTGACAATATTCATGTAAATAATGTTTTTATTTTAAATGGATAGTATGCAGGTCGACACAAACATAGCTCATACCATTACTTTTTAGGGAAATAGTAGAAAATAGGCTAATATGAAAAGCTTAAGAAAGTATATAGGCCAATTTTTAGTTATAGAACTTAATAGGCCATAACTTATCAAGTTATGGTTCATAATCAAATAGTTATGGATAAATTTGTCAAGTTATGGTTCATAGCCAGACAAGTTATGGATAATTATGGACAATAACTTATCAAGTTATGGTTCATAACCAGATAAGTTATGGATGAAAATAATTGTTTGGCCTATTTATTAACTTATGTAAACTATTGGCCTATTAATTTTAATTCATCTCAAGTCTTGGCATATTTTTCTCTTTCTCCTTACTTTTTAACATATACCGTAACACTTCTAAAAGTAACTCTGTCTAGGCCTCGTTCATTTCACCAATTTAAATTTTTAGTTTTAAGTTTTTACAGTAAAAAGCTCTTAGAAAATGTCACATCTAACTTTTTCTGCTACAGTAAAAAACTCTCAGAAAATATCACATCTCAACTCGAATCCGTGAAGTGAACGATGCCCAATGATTCAACACCATCATCGATCGTGGAATAAGCAGATGTCCGGTTAGCTATTGCAACTAGTTGGTAGAGTCAACTAAAATAATACCATATACCAGAATAACATAATCTATTTGGACAAACCAAATTGGCTTTCGTTTCTAAGGAATCCCAAAAAAAGAGCTCCACCAACTAATGTAGTTGCTACCAAACCAACTTCGTTGCTTTGTAGGTTTGGTTAAGTTTTGTTTCAGAGGATTCTCACTGGCTTTCACATTCTTTGCCCTTGAAAATGTCCCATGTGAGCTCATGTATCAATTAAAATAAATATTTTCATTTGATTTTAGACCTAGTTATCAATTTTATACTCATATAGTGTAATTTTCGTAAATTAAAAATCTAAAAAAATGATACTTTAAATCGTTACAACTTTGATGAGGTCATGCTTGATGTTTGGTTGGGGGTAACGGAAAATGGACAAAGGAATGGAATAGCCATTTAATTTTTACCATTGTTCGCTTGGTTTTATCTTGTCTTTCTATGCAAGGTCTAGCCATTTCACACCGCGGAATGACAAGTCCTGAACAAAATGGATGGAAAGTATATATTTCAACCCAGAATCAACTTTTCAGAACCCAAATTATTCTTATTTATTTTCGCTAAATCAATCCGAAAATATCAGAGCTCAAATTAACTCGACCGATCACCGATCGAGCAACCTAGTCCCACAACGTTGCCTGTGAGGATCACATAGTCACCAGTTTACACAAAGGAAAAGCAAACTGAATTAAGCAATGCTCGATGTTATCTTTCTCCTTTTTCCATTTTCCTTGCTGAGTTCAGGAAAATGACTTGCAACGACAATTATATTATCAAGTGAAATTCTCACTAAACCGTCAAATATTCATTCAATAACATTTAATTTACATACTTTTCTTTCTTTTTTTTTTTCTCTTTTGATATAATTTTTATGTGATCTGACAATCATAAGCACAAGCTCAAAAGATTTTGTTGCTCTTTTATTTTTGCAAATTCTGTTTGCTTATATCAAGCGCAAAGGGTAGCCAGATGTATTAGGACGTTAGAGTTGGGCATGAAGGTTTCATAATAAGATCTCCATTCTTCAGCTCTGCATAAGTTTTGCTTGCTAATTGATATATTCCATCTTATCTAGTGGTCTGTTTAATATGTTTGTTTTCAATATTTTTATATTAGTTTGTTACATAGTCAATTTTAGCATTCCTTTTATTAGTTAGTTCTCCACGATAATGTACTACGTAAATTTATATATAAAAAATACCACAAATTCGTCACCCCTTTTTCGTCACCTACTAAGTCATATTGCTTATTGCTCGCGGAGATATCAAAGTCAAATGACAGAATAAACTTATCTATCACAAATTAATATCCAATTAGCTTTTCTCTACAAGGACGCAATGTGATGAAATTTTTTTTTTATTTTTTTTTATTTTTTTATAGTTATGATTGTATGTAAATCATTATTTTTTAGGTCATAGATCTCGTAGATTAGTCGGGACAAAGTATCCGACACATTGACCGAAATCGACTCAGTGTCTCGAGAAGCATTAGGTCATAGATCTCGTAAATAAGTCGGGACAAAATATCCGACACCACGGTTATCCAAAAACGAAAAAAATGCCACAGAACGTAGAAAAGGGAGCGAGTGGGACATCCTTCGTATATCTGAAGGCAGCTAAATCATCCCCAGGCACAGATTTAACTCTCGAAACCATTTTATACATCCAATCTTTTCTACAAAAGAAACTTTTCAACATATGATTTCATTATAAACTATTCACAACTTTAGTATTACATTCTTCTGACTGTACTTTCATGTTTTGGTATGTTGACCATTGACTTCAAACATGGTTTGCAGCAACCACAACATAACCCAGATGAAGCTTCTTAATAAAGTGAACAAATGGGGGAAATTGCTACATAGTTAACACTGGAAAATGGAAACACATACAAAGACTGGTCTTTAGAGTACCTGCAAGATGCAAACTTTATTCAAAGAATGCGACACTAAGGACAATCTGAACGGCAAACAAAGCTCACATAATTTATGGAACTTGGTCAACTGAAGCATCTTAGGTCGTCTAAAACACACCAAGAGAGGTGGGATAGAGAGGAGTAGGCTTGTAAGAAATACAATTCGGGACATAAGTGGAGGTTTGACGTTTGGGAGGACGCTTTGACTCGATTGCCGGTTGGTTCAAGTATGCATACTTGCTTTTTGTCCACCTGCATCAGTTTAATGAAAGATTTCCTTTAGGAAAAGGAGACAGAAACGACCAGTTATGCAAGAATAACATCTCTTTTGACTTCTTCATTAAAGAAAAAAAAAAAAAAAAAAAAAAAAAAAAAAAAAAAAAAAGAGGAAGAAGAAGATCAACTAACCAGTCCTTTATTCCCACGCGAATCTCATTGCAATTCTGATCCTTGTAGCCATAGTTAGCTGCGGCTGTGCTCTTCTCAAAATCTTCTTCTCCCTCATCCTTCAAGGACTCGTCAAAGTATTTGTAATCTTCTTCCTATATTGAAATAACAAAATCAAGATGTTCTAAAGCTTGGAGTTGGATGTAATCACTATTTCACACATATAGAAAAGACCACAAATCCAAAACCAACATTAAACTCATAAAAGGAAGGAGATTTTCAACTGCAGAGAACTTGAAAGAAAACCTCTTTCATGTCTCCTCTGAAAGGGCTTTCTGATATGTAAATCCTAAAGCCAAGTTAGGTTCTTAGTGATGTTTCAATAGGCTCTATAGATCTCAGTAGAATTCATGGTTGTGCTCTGCAAGCGGAAGTATGCATATACAAAATCTTAAGCTTTTCATAATAAACTCTTTACCGAGAGATTACGGGCCCTGATGCGTGCAGCAGCCTTGATAGCAGCAAAGAGATGCTCTTCTTCCTTGATGCGTTTCTGCCTCCAGAACTTGGCAATTTCTTGCTTTGTCAAGCTCTCCGGAACCGCCTTCCTAGCCCAGAACCAGGGAAGTGGTGGAGGGGGCAGCGGCGGAGGCGGAGCCGCCTGTTCTATCTTTGCAACACCAAGTCCACAGTCGTCCCTTACCTTTTCCATGGCACACACCTCTTTGGCTAACTCACTTGATAATCTTCTAGTTCAAGCAGTGTGAGATCCCAATAAATGGTGAGAGAAATGAACATCAAACGGTCCAAGATGAACTTCAACTTCCATAACGAATCTACATGAGTTAATGATCGCAAACTAACATTCAAAACAGATAATGGTTCCCAATAATCAGCTTTGTTATATTCTCCGACATATTATATGAGGGAGACTGTTTAGCGTTAGTTAGCTGATGGAAAGAAAAGGTGCTAAAAGACAAGGGCAAATTGACTGGTAGTTGCAACGTGACATATTGAATATGAGCTGACAAATGACCGGATATAAAATTCTCAAACTAAGAACTACAAATAAATGACGGAGAGCCCAAATAATTATACTCGGCAAGTGGACAGAATAAAATGTATATTACACACAACGACGCTGGATACTTTTAAAAGCCCAAAGGGTCACAATGTAAAAACTGCATTTTAGAAGGTTCAGAATAAATTAACTTAACCAAGAGCTTGGCGTTACAGTAAACAGCACTAATGGTTATAACATGAAACTCCAGTAATAGTACTTAATCAAAACAAGGTAGAGAACAAGAGGATGAAATATCCTCAAAAAAATACACCGAAAGGGGAAAAAAAAAAGAAAAAGAAAAAAAGAAGAATCAAAAACGAAAAAAGCAACACAATATGCTTTAGCAAAGTAACAAACCCCAGAAACTAGCAGAACTCATTTTAGTACAATAAGTTATAGTACTTCATTTTAGTACACCTGAAAAGTCATGAGCAAAGTAGAGAGATCTTCCAATCTTTGTTTCAAGATATGTCAATTCAAAAATTCCTTGCAGAATATCAACCTCAAAACCAAGCCATAACATGAACAGAAGGAACAAAACCAGAATAGTACACTATAAAGATCCGCAAGATATGTCTCGATAGTCATAACTCATTATTGCTTTTATAAAGATTCAATAAAGTATGTTTACAATCTGACTAAATCATGAAAAAAAAAAAGAAATGTTTACAATCTGACTAAATCATGAAAAAAAAGAAAATACTATGAGTACAATGCTTTCAATAATCCAAAGCAAGTAACTTTCGTTAAACAAAAATTGAACCTCATTTTTCTGTTCTTCATTGCCCACCAATTTCAGAAGGCGTCTTTGCCACAATTGACAAGGCGTGGAGCCCACTCTCCAACTCCTCCTGCAACAACCCATAAACAAGCCTATGCCTCTTCACCAAACTCTTCCCTTCAAACTCCTTTGACACAATTCTCACATTGAAATGAGTTTCTCCATCATCATTTCCTCTCACCCCAGCATGCCCAGCATGCTGATATGATATATCCTCCACTTCCAACTCCACAGGACTAAGCTCCTTCTGCAATTTCTCCCTAACCCTCATTCCCCTGCTTCCCAAATTCCCCGAATTCGCCCCAATTTCGCTCGTCGCGCTCGTTCGAACCGCCGAACCCTCAGATTTCTCTCCAAAACCGGAACTTTCGACTTCATCAATGCTTTTCAGCTCCGAATTCGGCCCAATTTCGCTTCTTCCGCTCGTTTCCACCCCCACTCGACCCTCAAAACCCTCAATTTTCTCCCCAAAATCGCTTTTCGCCTCCGAATTTGAGCTTCCCTTGCCCTTTTCGGCTTCCACGAGCAACTCGAGTGCCTTTCTCTGCATCAACTTTAACATGTTCAAGAATCCATTATTCCTCGACGGCGTCAAGCTCTGCTGAAGCCCTAACAGCACAACGAACTCCGGCGAAATCCTAACCACCTCCTCCGCGGGCCGGCCGGACAATCCATTAACCAGCAGAGCCGCCAGTCCCTTGGTGAGTACCGAATCCGAATCCGCCTCGAAAACCACGTTCCTCTCCGAATCAAGGTAAGCCCTTACCCATACCTGCGAAACACAACCTTCGACTTTATTCTTCCTCGTCTTATGAACCTCCTCCAGAGGCTTCAGGTTCTTTCCGTAGAAGAGAAGCTGCTCGTACTTCGCCTTCGCCTCCTGTACGGACTGGAAGAGCCGTACGATTTCTCGAAGCTTCGGAGGGAGTTCTTCCTCGGCGGCTTGCAGTGAAGTCGGGCTTGGAGATGAGACCGAGACTGATAGTGGCGGCGGATTGGCGGCGGCGATTCTCTCGAAGGTGATTCGTCGCGAGAAGAGGAAAGGTTGGGGGTTTGGGGATCTGCGGGGGAGGAAGGAGGAGGTTGGGATTTTGGTGGTGAAGAGACGGAAGGAGGAGGAAATGGAAGAACAAGAGGACATGGTTTTTCTGAGTATTTCTTGCTTTGTTTTCTCGGAGTTTCGCGACGATTCTCGGAATCCAAACAGAGGGGAAAGAAAGATTTGAGCTGCTTTTGATTGTTTGGAGAGAGAAAAATTCGCGGTCAGGATTAATGAACTGAACAAAGGACAGAGGCACAGAGCTTATGAAAGTCGTATTAAATCGACATGTTTAGTACATGACATGACATGTCGTTTGAGAAGCATTAAATAAATTGTATAATACAACAAAACGACACGTCGTTTTTATTCCGAACCTTGTCATCACTAGCTTATGATACGTGCCAGTTAATATACGTATTGTTTTACAGACCATAATTTATTTTTCAAAGATGACGGTTTGAAAGCCATTATCACGTATTAAGGGAAAGCTTTCACTTCAATTTATTTACATACTCAGTAAATAAAATCTCATTTATTTCACCGATTTGAGTTTTATTATAATAAAAAATTCTCAAAAATAATTATATTTAATTTTTTTATTTCAGTAAAAAGTCTCACATAAAATTACATCTTAATTCAAATTAAAAACTCAAATCAGCGAACTAAACAGTTCTTAAGATATACTTACTTTCACACTTATTTAATCGTTGCTTATTATATTTCTATTAAGTTTTGCTACATTAAATGGATTGAAAATTTTTTTTATGAGTTGGAATTTGTTAGTGATAATATTTTTTTTCATATACATTGAATGGAAATGAAAATTTTTTATTCAATTAATATAAATGTAATTTTAGGCAAAAAATACTTTCTTCCTACATAATTCACAGTGACTATTTCTGCTTCAATAAAATATTTAGTTGAAAATATCAGTAAGTTAATCATGTTCTATTATATAGAACAAAAAAACATATATATGAGTTATTTTATTTTATTTTCTAAATAAGAAATAAATGAAACAAACACATAAAAAATTTCCACAATAAAACAAAGAGGTTCTCTCATTTTTTTCTCTTAACAATGGCAAGCGATATTTTTCATATGTGACTAATAGAATGTGTTAAAATCGCATCGATATTGGAGGTTTAATTGTTAAAGACATGTTTCATAATGCAAACATAATGAAAAGAAGCATTCTTTTTTGGTCTAAAATTAAAAGAAACAAAAAGTAATGTATACTCGGTTACGATTTTTATGTATTTTTAAAAAATTATGTTAAATAATAACTTAAAATTTCTTTCATACCAGCAGTTAATTCATAAATTCCTTATTTTATATACAAAAAAGTGCTTTTCTATTTTCCTTAAAAAAATACTTTTCTATTTTTCTTTTACTGTCTAATAAATGAACAGATTATCAAATTTATTCTAAAAAACATATAAATAATAAATAAATTCATATAGAGAAAAGAAGTGTTACATAATGAAGGGAAAAAAAAACATAAGACAAATAAAATTCATATTTACATAAACACCTTAGACATAAGGAATATAATTTTGTAATTTACATGCGTACATGGATAAACAACAAAAAATATAAGAATTTGTTCAAACACAAAAGGAAAGGGGAGAAAAAATAAAATTAAAGAAAAGAGAGGGAGAATAATGGAGAAGGATTTGCATGTAAAAAGCATGAATATACTCAGCATAATTGGTGTGAGGTATATGCACATGTTCTTTTATGTGAAAATTGGAACGTTTATTCTATAAAAAAATATAAAATAAAAAAAAGTTGTAATATTTGTTGCTCACTTGAACCAAATTCTTAGTCCCAGGCGATCAAGGAATAACATGTGGCCAAAATCTAATTGGGTGGAATTCACTCACTATATCTCACGTGTAAGTAAGACAGAAGAGAGGTTTCCATGAAAATGACCAAATCTGGCCAACCAAGAGCAAATGAAAGAGTAAAGAGCTAAGGGTAAAACGGTAAAATCGCATCGCATAAGGAGCAAACGCGCAATATGATAGAATAACTATCCAACAAAGTGAAATTAACAAAATGACATTTTTTATTTTTTATGAAGAAATACCACCTTATCATTTTTTGTAAAAAGTAGTCATTTTACAAATAAAAATTTTTAAAAAGTTATTTTACTAATAAAACTTTTCTATTGAGTTATTTTTACAAAGCCCTCAAAGCAAACGGGTTTAAAGTGGAGAATACAGATGGGATTTTTTAGAAATTGAGGGACAAAAAAGACCACACACCGTTCAAAAAAACAGTAACTTCACAACCTACTTTGGTATTATCGTATAATATGCATATTTCGTATTCATGAAACGACATGGTGTAGTCTTTTTAACACTCAACTAACTGAACAACTAAAACCAAAGCAAGCAAACTGATAGATCAGTAGTAAGTTTAAAAAGTTTTAAAAATTTCTAACAAAATGAGATTGGAGATATCCAAAATGAGGTTTGGGGGCATTAGTAAGTAACTGAAACCTTTATTAATTGAGACTCATAAAGAATTTTTTTTTTTTTTTAAGGAAAAGAAAAAACATGGATTATATTAACCCAAACAAATGTATGAATTCAAGAGAGAGGATAAATATTGGGATAACATTAAGCCTAAAATCTGAAAAAGGAAGTTTGGTTCTCCTCAATGCTAAAAAGAAGAGTCATGCTATCTTCTACAAACGGTTGGTCGATAGCTAACAGAGAATTATCATTGATCGCGCAAATTACGGTCCCGTTTAGTTTGCTGATTCGAGTTTTTAATTCGAGTTGAGATGTGACTTTATGTGAGAATTTTTTATTGTAGCAAAAAAGTTAAATGTGACTATTTCTGAAAGCTTTTTATTATAATAAAATTTAAATCGATGAAATGAACGAGACCTACATCAGTTGCATCACTTTCAACACAATGCAAACACCGAGCCTTCTCAATGGGAAAACTATTTGAGTTTTTAGAGACTCGTAGAAAAGTCTATAATCATTCATTAGGTAAACTATTCGATTTCATTTGACAAAACAAATCTGCGGAGTTCTTTTAAGCTTTCTTGATCTAAGTGCTTTAAATCCTTGAAATCCTTTAAATGTGGCATGATATCCAAACCATCGTTTTTCCCCAAAACAAAAAAGCTGTCTGCATAACATAATTTCTAATTAGAGTCTAGAAATAATAAGTGTTCCCATCACGAGAAAAAGCTGCCTGCATGTTAGAGTGAACTATTCTTAGGTAATTTGATATTATGTCTCACCAATATAAAGTAAACTACCAATATATATGTACTCGCGAAAACTACTGACTGCAACTATTAAAAATAAAACAAAAAAACACACAACAGATCGAAAAATGCTTAAATGAACAATCTATCCAAATGTTTATATCTGTGTATTCAGAATTACCAACAAACACACCAATGTTATAACCTTAGCTTTCAGACTGTCTATCCTGTGTGGGATAAATAGAAAATGTTGCGGGCCATAACTGGCGGTTTCACTTGGAAGTCCTAGAATTTAGGGGTTGTTTAGTTGAGAGATTCGTCTCTCGATTCGAATCATGGTTCATGATTCGCTACAGTATTTTCTCTCATAAAAAATACACGTAAATCGAAAATGGTTTTAATCTTATAATTCTAATCCGTTAACCAAACGTCTCCTTAATAATCTAGCTCTCCCAAGTCTTTCAAAGCAAGTACTTATGAATTTAATAATCTAGCTCTCCCAAATCTTTCAAATTATATGTTTGAAATCTCTAAACTACCTTTATTAAAACTACCCTCAATGAAATTTTTGGTTTTAGGGGCGGAGTGCTCCACTCCCGAGCTTTTTTTTTTTTTTTTTTTTTTTTTAACAATTTGTTCCTTAGTTTTGTCCCCTTAAAGATTTCTAATTTTTACATTTGTATGATTTTTTTTTTTTTTTAAGTTTCGATTATACCTCAAATTTTGACGTTATTAAACTTGAAATACAAATAAAGCAAAAATCAATGACAGAGGTTAATAACTTTGTGGATTGCCGGCTTTAAAAAGTTATTAAACTTAATTGCAAACATTGAAAATGTGAATAAAACATAAAAGAAAAATACCGTAGTTAACAGAAATAATTGCATTAGTATTTTGGTTTGGTTCACGCCTGTCTGAAAAAAGTTCCTGACTTCACCACTCATGAGATAAAATCAAGATCAATTAGCTGAACATTATAAACTCAATTTGTAGAACATATACATCAATTAGAGAGAAGATGATCAAGATGAAGAAAAGAAGAAAGACAAAAAGAAAAAGAAAAACCCACAACTTCTAAACCACTCAACGAAAAATTATATATTTCCCAAAACCTCATATATATATATATATATATATATATAGAGAGAGAGAGAGAGAGAGAGAGAGAGAGAGAGAGAGAGAGAGATATCATGACATCATTTTAAGGTTAGTACTAATTAGTACTTGTAACCCTTAACAAACAAACTTTCAGAAGCAAGACCAGTGCCACTGCCTCCGGTGTAGTTGCCAAGAGAGGCCTCAGAATTGGCCTTGGCCCTGGCCAAGAATGCCTCCTGAGCCTTGCCAATGTTCTCCTTCTTCCCACCCCATGTCTTGAGTGTGCTCTGCTGAAGAGCTCGCCCGAATGAGAAGGACAGCGTCCATGGCTTCAACACCTCCAGCTTGTTCATCGCATTGAGGTTGAACGTCGCCTCCTCCTCGCTCTGCCCGCCCGATAGGAACACTATTCCTGGCACTGCCGGTGGCACTGTCCGGCGGAGCGCTGTCACCGTGTGCTCCGCAATCACCTCCGCTGCTACCTGTAAAAATTTCAATTCTTTTTTTTTTAGAGGTTGTAATTTGACATCTATTTTCAAAATAACTAACTAGAAGATAGACTTGCAGGAAATGTATATTCAATAGTAGTGTTTATCAGTATTGACCGCATAATTAAATTTGCTCTCAGCCAAAAACGTTACAAAAATGACTTCTGTAATCACAGAAACAATATATAGATGTATAGATGTAATTACTTAGCTAGGAGCTAGTGACAATTTTCAGTACCATTAGTTACGCTCTTACCTAAAACTGTAATTCGAACATTTTCCAACCTATTGTATAGATGAAACCTTTGAACGTCCCACTTAATAGAATGCTTTTTTATTCACAAATTGCAAAGCTATTTTACAAACTTCTTTTTTTTTGGGGGGGATTTTAATTTTTGTTAATGAAATAATAGTACTTATTATATGCACTAAGTTCTATGTAAAGCTATATATATATATATGACCTATTTTATATGAGTAATTATAATGCTTACACGACACCACAAATATCATTTATCATTTTCAATTATCGTTATTACATCCTAAAACACCTTATTTATTATATTAATCGTAGCTAGATATATAGTAATTTAAATTTAATTATAATTGAGGAATCTTTAATGCATGCATGTATGTTACCTTAGGGCTATCAGAACCAGGCGTAACCATGTTGGGTTTAAGGAGCGTGCCCTCAAGAAGCACATGATGATCATTCAGCGCCTTGTAGACCGCTGCGAGCACCGTCTCCGTGACGGCGGCACACTTCTTAATGTCGTGGGGCCCATCGGTGAGCACCTCAGGCTCGACGATGGGCACCAGCCCGTTCTCCTGACAGATGATTGCGTAGCGGGCCAAACCCTGCGCGTTCTGCTGGATGGACAGCTCCGACGGCTCGGTGGGACCGATCTTAAGGACGGCACGCCACTTGGCGAATCGCGCCCCGGCCTTATAGTACTGGCTGCACCGTGCTCCGAGCGAATCGAAGCCCTGAGTGGTGGTCTCGCCGTTGGTTCCGGCAAGCTCTACGGTGCCCTTGTCGACCTTGATCCCCGGGACGACGCCGTTTTCCTCGAGGACCTCGACGAAGGGCTTGCCGTCGGAGGTTTTTTGGTAGAGAGTCTCCTCGAAGAGGATGACGCCGGAGAGGCAGGAGAGGGCGTTTGGGGAGGTGAAGAGGAGCTCCCTTAGGGCTTGGCGGTTCAACTCGATGTTCTCGACGTTGATGCTCGCGAGTCGCTTTCCGATGGTGCCGGTGCTCTCGTCCGCCGCCAGGATACCCTTTCCGGGGGTGGCGATGTACTTTGCTGTCTTGATGAGTTCCTCTGAGGCAATTGATAAGAAATTGCATGAAATTAGTGTTTAGTAATTTTATGAATCTCAAAAGTATAGTACATGCCTCTCAAAAAAAAAAAGTATAGTACATGAAGTTTGTGATTGGTTCAAAAATGATATAATTACATTATAGTAATAGTTGTTAATACATATGATTGGATATTGGTGCAATGCTAATACAATTACGTAGAAGTTGTTTATAATGGAAAGAAACAATATGAGATAAGATTTTGTAATTAGATGCAAAGTTAATTCTAAATTTTACTACTCCATGCCTCTCAAAATTAGTACATGTAATTTGTGATAGGTTAACGCTATATTCATATTATGTATGGATGCTTAATAATCATAACAATAATAATAATAATAATAATAATAATAATAATAAAGAAAAATAGCAAAGTTGTTTATGAGAATGTATATTGTTAACTTCCGCTAGCTAAATTATATACATGCTTGTACTGAGGAATTTTGACTTTGTTATGTTTATTGTAGTGCATTTTAATATAGGTTTTTTTATATGGGCATTTTGAGTGTGTGTGTGTGTGTGTGTGTATGGGAAAAGTGTTAAATGTAATTAAAATTCCTAAGATTTATTGCGTTGTAGGAACAATAGTTAAGTAATCATCTTCACAAGCTATTTATCTATCTACTCGTCAAAACAAAAACAAAAAAAACGGTTGAGAAATGTAGCCATCGTTTGGAACTTTCAAGGCATCGTTGCCAAAAACCCAATATTCGTTACTTCTGCTTCCTTACAATAATCAACAGTTCCACTCTCCCATTAGGCTCTTAATTAATAATAGCATTAGTACGGAAATGGAAAGAATTCTCGCTTACAATGCCTATACATACTAAACCAAATATGTGTGTGTGTGTTAGAGAGAGAGAGAGAGAGAGAGAGAGAGAGAGAGAGAGAGAGAGATTGTGTTTACCAGCATACTTTCCAACAAAGGCAGACATGGTTGTGGCTTTTAGGATGGTTTATGGATATTGTGTATAATATATCTATATTTTATGTAATTCAAAAGTACAAAAATTGCAGGACCAAAGAGCGAAAAACAAACACAGACAACCAACAATCTATATAGACAATCTCTCATGGAATATACCAACAGAATCCATCCCATACCATGCACCGCCACGTGTCACGAAATTAGCCCACCAAGGGTTATCATCCTCGGATAAAGCAACGAGTGATTGCTCTCATAGCCAAGTGGCCAATTATATACCCCTAGTTTTATCGCTCCATATTTACATGAGCTCAGTAATAATGTGTGGAATATATGCTTAAAAGCTCCTCATCCGTTCATGGTTTGGAAAAACTTATTGGAAGAACTTGGAACAAAACCAAAATGACAATTTTTTGGATTCTACCAACTGCTCACAAGTTTGAGCCACTATTTTGGATTTTCATTCTTGTCCTTGACTCGCTATGTTGCTTTCACTTTAACCACCCATCAAATACTCTCCACAATCCACTACTCTGCTTCTATCATAGCAGTTCTTTTAAATTTGCCACAACATTTGAAAAAAAAAAAAAAAAAAAAAAAATTATAAAAGCATATTCAGACTATTGGTGTGAGTAATAAGGAAACTTCGTCATATTATTGTATGAGTAGAATTATTGGTTCTTATATACATATTGCCATAAGGAGGCTAAACCTTCGTCTGCAAATATTGCCACTCCTTATATATGCCATACACATGTATAGCAAGTTACGGGACCAATATTGGCCAAAAAAAATGTAATGGCCTAATATTTTGTCAATATCCAGCCCTTTTCATAGTATAAAGCACATAAATTAAAAGGCATTGGAGGAAGGGAAAATTAGGGAGAAAAGAAGAGAAGAAAAGAAAAACCCCCCAAAAGGTGCAAAGAAAGAAATATATATAAGATATAACAAGATTCTTCCAAGGAAGTCAAAAATTTTTCAACTCTTAAAGAAAGTAGAAACCACCAGAATATTGGTCAAAAAGGCAAGTTCAGCTGATTTTCAGGGATTGCTGACGAGTAACGATAATGGGGTTGGACAAAATAGCAGATATATATGTATATATAAAGTCCACTTTTTTTTTACTTCTGGAGGAGCTCAGCCACTTCTCTTTTGCTGGATCAATTATCATCTGTTCCAAAATATCTGTCTCCAAACTCTCCCATGCCGGGTATGACCCGAAAATCTTCATTCAAACCAATTTCAATCTCAGATGTCACAATCTTAATCCTTGGGAAGCTTTTGCACACCACATGTATACCCTGAGGTGCCTGGTGAACAAATTTGCTAAGTCATCATTACGTAGTAAAACTCTTGTTAAATGTAAATGATAGAGCTTAAAAATACCATATTGATATTGCGCAACTCTTAACTCTCAGAGACTCAAATCATATCATAATCATATTAAGAAAAGAAAAGAGTACACAAATTTAACGAAATTTGATGCAGATCGATGCAGATCTCACAATTTGGAACTCCACTACGATAGTAGGGTATTTTCGGTATCCTCCCAAAGAATTTTTCGGGGAAAAAAAAAAGAGTTATCATAGGAGTAGGAAAACAAAGCATTTGAGAGCAACTTTAAACTTACGGATATAAGATTGAGAAATATGATGTTGGACTCTGGTACACCTTTTTTTAGGAGTAAAGAGATGGCCTGAACAGCTGAATTGCCTGAAGAAAAGGTGCAACTAATAAGGTTTACCTGTCTAACTCTTTGTATGGTGATATGAAAACTAATTATAGTTCTTAGAATATATCAAAACCAACAGGAAAAGAAACAAACCTGTTCCTAAGATAGGATCCAAGAGTAATACATGCCTCTCTGAGATGTCTTGGGGCAGCTTTTCATATATTAGCTGTTAAGCAAACAAATTATGGAGAAACAGCCAGAAGTAAAACTTGAATAGATTGATATAGAACAAGCAAAGACAGAAAAAAAAAAAAAAAAAAAAAAAAAAAAAAAGAAAAAAGATTTCCAAACCTGTTGACCGTTGTCCCCTTCTCTATGAATGAGAATTTTCCCGATCTTAATACCTTTACAACAGGCTCGCAAGGCATTTTCCATACTCTCACCACTGTATTAAAAGGGGAATGATTGTTATATCATAAGAATGAACTCGTTATTTTAGAATAAGTAACGGATAAGAAAGTCAATGTTGACACATCCAAAATTTTGAGGTGTGGAAAACAGAAAAAGAAAAGAATAACTAATTAAAAAAAAATCCTTATTACTCATAACCAAGCACCTAATTTCTAGCAAAGACAGCTCTGAAAAAATTACCTTCTAATGACAGATACACCACATAACCTCTTACAGAAGTCTACACCAGTATACACAGACCCTGCAACCACAACGGAAGGCGTAAAGAAAAAAATTACCATTTCAAAAGATCTAGAATCTATTAGAAGATTACCAAAATAACAATTCAAATCGAATAATATTAGCTAAAGGTATCATCCGAATAGAGCATTGAAAATATCTCAAGATTATCACGAAAAAGTATCTTGATTGTCCTAGGTTATAAGTTTTCTTATCAAACAACACAACATTGTCTTTGGAAAGTTGACGTGGATAATTTTAGAATTTAATATTTGGACAGGTAACATCGATTCAGTTGTCTGTGGAGAACTTGGAAGATTTACTGCATAATTTTGGTTTTTTCATGGTAGTGGCATTACTTTATGACATTTGAGGATCTACTGTGTAATGCTCGACAAAAAATTTTGAAGGACGTCCAAAATGAATACAAGCTTACCAGTTGGAGTGAGCACCTGCTTTTCTGTAAATGGTAGATGACCCAGGCCATGTTCAACAACCTGGAAGTAATTTAGAGAACTTGCCAAATCCCATCACTGAATTCCACTACAATCAAACTGAGATCAATGTGGAAGGGAGCATATACATACCAAACGAATCAACCGATCGGCATAAAATACAAAATCATGCTTTGTTGTTTGAGAATCACGTATGAGGGTATGCATACCCCGTATCTGCATGAGACAAGGAGTCACAATAGAACAACAAAATAAAATAAAATAAATGCACAACCAAAAGTTTGGAGCTGAACTGAGAATAAGTAAGCTGAGATACCTGGAAAGTTGACTGTATCACATATAAATTAGGATATATTTTACAAAGGTCATGTTGGCCAAGCTTTGTGCGGATGTGTTGTACGATCAAATCAATTGCGACATGATTATCTCCTCCACGAGGAATAATGATATCGGCATATTTCTTTGTAGGAAGAATAAAGTCATCAAAAGCAGGCTTCACAAATTTTGAGTACTGCATATACACAAGAATATACATTTAGAGGAAAGGTAAAATTGAAATTTATCTTCTTATGTCAAATTGTTATCAGGGAACAAGGTGGGCGGGGAAGAGTGACTGCAGTAATGAAGCCTCAAAACGCACTGGGTGAAGCACTTCAAAGGAGATGACTGAATTGATAATCTAGTAATTTCAGGAGCCAACAACGTATCATCAATATCAGTTGCAGACTTCCAGCAATATATCATCAATATCAATTCTAGTAATTTCAGGAGCCAACGATATATCATCAACATCATCGAACTGATCAGTTCCAGCAAAATCATCGTTAACCCCAGAATTATGAGTTTATTGCATGTCATGACACTTTACACCAACATACTCCTAATATTTTGATAACATGACTTTTGTTCCAATAATAATGACAACAAAAAACATGAATTCTTGCAAACCTGATCAAGAACTGCACCAATATCTCTGTGCTTCTCAACTGTGTCACGCCTTATCCTTCTTGCCAAACGAACATCAGCATCTGCACTGGAAATTTTACAATGTGAAGTGTCCAAACTTAGTAACCCTATGAAATGATATAAGAAGACATTCCACAAAAGAACTAACAGGGAAGTTAAAAGGACACCATCTATTGATACAAATCTCAAAACCAAAGGTATATTGGACACACCTAAAATAATAAAGGAAACATCCAAAAAAATCCAGAGACTTACAGTAGTTATTGACATAAGCACTACGCAGTAGAGACAAGATGTTAAGAACATAAAGAAAATGGTAAAAAGAGAATAAATGACTATTGACATAGGCACTAAGCAGTAGAGACAAGATGTTAAGAACATAAAGAAAATGGTAAAAAGAGAATAAATGACCTGTATCAACAAAGATCTTCATATTCATCAACTCCCGTACACGAGGGTCATGGAAAATGAGAATGCCTTCCAAAATTATAACATCTGAAGGATTTACCTGCACAGATATTTCTTACAATAAGGATTCTCAGTGCCGGAAAGAGATTTCTCACTGATAAAGGCACACATGCACACATGCATCAATAACCACAAAACTTTCCTAGTGTTTTTTTAGTTTTCCAGAACAAAAGGGCATGAAATCAAGAGGAAACTGTGTGAAATGAAATTTCCATAAACCTGGATGTTTAGAAAACAAATATTACCCTTCTAGGTGGGAACACATTATTTTTGTAACTCTTGAAGTCATACTTTGGTATATCTACTGCCTTCCCATTCCTCAACTTATCCATAGAAGCTAAGAGTTTCTCAGTGTCAAATGCATCTGAAAGCAAAAGAATTATGCATCATAAAAGAGAGGGAGCGAAAGAGCCACATGCATCCTTTAAGAAAATTGATACCATACTATGCTTCTTACTGCTTCCGATCGATAATAAAATTTTATATCAGATATATGATTTCACAGCAAGATACACACAAAAATAAGGACAGTCCAGAAAATGTCAAATTGCATAAAACGCATAACTCATCAATTGTGTTCAAATGCAGTTGAACACTATATAGTCCTACATAAATTATAATTTGACTTAACAAGAAATCCCCTCACCAGGATGGTCGAAGTTGTAATCCTGTACTCTTGCAAGTTCTTCTCCAGTCAAATTATGATAGAAGGAATCCTGAAAAATAATCCATGCTAAGATATAAAAATAACTAAATATAAAACGAGAAAGAATGACATGTAGTGCAGGAGTAAATTCATATAAACAAACTCTACTAATTTTATCTCGAGCTAGTTACTAAATGCGTATGTGAACCAGGATAACATTACCTGGTTGACAAGAACAACTCGCTGGTCATGAAGCTGCTGTATAATCATATCGCAAACAGTAGTCTTGCCAGATGCTGCTCCGCCAGCAACTCCTGCCATGCAAAGCAGAAAGCACGGTTTCAGGTAGATAAGAAACAAATAGAAATGATCATGTATCCTCCTATGATGCATTCCTAGAAAAACTCCATATGCCTAGACCATAGTCCAACAAATATTATGAAATTGATAAAGTCCGAAGCAAAAACTTAACGATGGTATCTGTTGCATGCTATTCTTTATTTAGCTGACAGGATCATTTATAATCAACCAGTACAAGAATCATTTGAAAACAAAATGGTTGTTACACTATTTAGTAAATAAGGTACAGTTCAAGTAATGTACGAGACTGATGCACACCTTGCCAAGTCAAGTTAGAAAATACCATATATATGTGTTTGTGTGTGTGCGTGTTGTGTGTGTCTGTAACCAGAAAATAGTTTGGACATCCAACAATACCTATGACAAAAGGTTGCATATGTAAGTTTTCTGTGGCAGAGGTTGTTGGTTGCTCCACCTCTGATGAATGCCTTTGCTCCACCAGACCATTCATGTGAAATCCAGAAAAATGAACCCCTGAGGAGGCTTCTATTAAGTCCACAACCGATTTAGAATCCATGGCCATAGACCTATCCATACACAAACATTGGATCAGAGAAATGCTAATGATCTTATTTAAAGACAAAAGTGGCGGAATTCTTTAAATAAATTATGAAATGCATTGCAATGTTAGTTACTCTTTTGTTTGTTAGATTCAGTTCATTTCTAATCCAAGCCAATCAAAACCAAAAAACTTGGCCTGCAGAAAACCAAACATTACTTGGCCTCCTAGTTTCAATTGCTTAACCAAAAGATTGGATCAAAGAATTTTCTAACCCAACAACACCAAAGGTAGTAGCTAAATTGTGTTAGCTGATTTAAACTAGACAAAAATTGCTATAAGTCAAAGACTTGTTTCAAGCACACCAATCCTTTTCATATTTGACACGAAATATTCAGTTACTGATCAAAGCAGGTAACAATAACCACAACAAAATCGCTATTACATTACTTGTGGGTTTTGAATCAGTAATTGGGAATGTACCACAATTTTACTCTTATTAGAGTTGGTACAATTATAGTCCAACCCAATCAGAACCAAACAACTTGGCTATAAAACAATCAAAACGTAGTTTTCCTTCTAGTTTTGATTGCTTAACCAAAGATTGTATCAAAATTCAGCTTAGCAAACTCTTCAAATCACTTGGTCAGATGCGGATCAAAAGCTAGATAAAAACTTGTTTCAAACTTGACAACGATGTACATATTTGACACGAAATATCATTAGTCATCGATCAATACAAGCAACAGGAAATACAAACAAAATTGGAATTTCATTGCTTGTGGATTTCAAATCAGTAAAATTCCAAAATGTAGCTGACCCCAAAGAATACGGCATTCTTAGATACCAAACGCAACAGGTTTCCGCATACGACATCACTTTCCGTGTACTTTATCGAAATAATCAATCATAAAACGACACCAAAAACAAAAACAAAAGCAAAAAAAAATCAAAAGCTGATTCTGATTGATTACCAATGGAAAAAACAGAACAATCAAAAGAAAACTAAAAATCTCAGCTTTTCCACTAAAAGCATCATCCCTAATGGCAATTCCTCGGCGAAATTTTAACGAAGATCCAATGCCGATGATTTCAGACGCCGAAACTTATCGATCAACGAATCAAATTGAAATTCACAAAAAGAGAAAAAAGACAAGATTTTTGCGTTCAAGTTTGGGGAATTGAAGTGTGGAGTGAATCAAGAGAGAGAATCCAGTAATGCGAGTGAGTTACCTGGTGAGTGAGTTCGAATCGAACCGCGAGAATTCCAGAGAGAGAGAGATTTGAAGAGAGAGAAAATTACAGAGAGGAGATAGAGAAAGAGAGAGAGAGAATTGATTACGGACAGGAAACAGGATGGGGCTTATATACATGTATGTGTGTATATATATATAGTGGGGATTAAGCGTGAAGTGAGGGAAGAAATTTCATTATTTTTGCAAGATGGTCCTTAAATTCTATCGAAATTACAGCTCTCTATCTTTTTCTCTCTTCTCTTCCAATCGGAGCCGTACGGTGGTTGCAGTGAAAACAGTGGACGACGGTGTTTTTTTGGGAAATCTAAGATCAGATTTTAGATTCCAACGTGGCACTGAATCATAAGTGGGTCCCACTTTCAGTTCCTTTTTTTATAAATATATTTTTTTTATTTATTGTGTTTAAAGATGGAGGAATCGCTTGTGTGTTCTTGGCCATACCAGTTTTACCGTGTTCTCAAGAGTATTTTCCCTTCCGCATCAAATACGACGTCGCTTTAATGGTGATTATTACACGGAAAAAGAAAAAGGTTTTCATCTTGGTTAATTTTTTTATATCAATCCCATTTTCTTTAGTCTTTACTCAGTTGAATCAAATTTCTTTATATCAAATTTCTTTACACCACAAAAATGTTTCATCTACTTTCAAAAAAAAAAAAAAAAGTTTTCATCTTGATGACGTTTTTCTATCAATTTTTATTGACAAGTTGAATTAGTAAAAATTAAACATTAAAAAAAACCTTTCTTACAACACAAAAAGTTTTCATCTCAGTAATTTCGAGATACTTTTAATCAATTTTTCCCAAATTAGTAAAATCATCCATTTTTCACATCACAGAAAGTGTTCATCTTGTTCCCTAAAAAAAAAGTGTTCATATTGATGATTTGGTTTTTCTTTTCACCAATTTTCTTAACTATTTGTTAAACGAAGATCACACCTTTTCTAAGTATGATTTACTGTGGTTAAAATTTTAACTTTTGAAAATTATATTTAATTTTTGGGTTACTCATTTTATTATGTATGCAAAGATTACAACTGTCAAGATGACTCTTGACATCTCAGATTTAATTCGTAGTTTTTAGGTAATTCTTAATTATGAGTTTTTTAGATTTATAGATTTCTAATAAATCTCAACTTCAATTTTTGTAGATTTTTTGTTGATAAATCTGATGTTTATAGATCTCTAATGTTTGGCATTAGTGGACTTTTATATATTGTTATATATTGATTCGATTCTTTTTAAGAATATTTTATGGGAAACATTGATCTTATTAATTAAAATTTGAATTTGAATTTAGGACCTTAAAAAAGGTGATTTTATATTAATTAAGTATGCTATGGGAATCTAAACATCCAAATCAATATTCTTGTACCCATTTTTAATCATGTCAAAATTTAGGTAGAATATCACTAATAAAATGAAACAGTAGAAGTACAGACATAATTGTTGTTTTCGGCCATGTGAAATGACCTTATTTTTTTATAAGTTCATGCACTGATTTGACATCAAATTAACTAATTTACCTGCTAGTTCAAGGGGAATTTTCCATTAAGATGTGAAAAAATATGAAATTTTTAAGAGTTTTGAATTAACATATATATGTTTTAATATGATATAATTCTACTAGAATTTGATGGTTCGTGTTCTACCAATAGAGAGTTTTTTTTTTTCTTTTTTTATAGAGCTAAAGGACATAAAGATATATGCTTATAAAAATATAAAGGAGGCTCACTGCCACGCCCCGAAGCAGGAATTAGTGACGTGAATATTCGTTTAGAAGTTAAACATGATTAAGAAAGTAATTAAGCATTTAGAAATATAATAATTGATACCAAAACTAAAATATTAAAATAATTTTTAAACGAACCCCACATTTTTAATGAAATTAGATTACAAGAAAGTGATGGAGACTTTCATATTTTTCTAATAAAACGGGTTAAAATCAAGTCTCTGGCATCATTTTGGGTCTCCCCCACAGGATATTCAATATCGTACATACATGAACAAGTAAAGAACATTTACATACATCAACCACAGTCTAGGTATGTTTAAGGTGTACAATCTGACGATTTACAATTCTTACATAGAGACAACAAGAACGGAAGATGGCACAACTTCTCCTCTTGAACCGCACAAGCTAGGGTTACCAGAGTTTGCTACTTACTCTGCACTGCTTCTAGCGTCGCCTAGGAGGGGTTAAATATATATAGAGAAACAGAAGGAAAACATGAGCAGAAGGCCCGTTATGATATATTTTGAAGTAAACTTTATAAGTAAATACGTAAATAAATAAACGAATAGAAATGTACAATCTCATCACAACAGCTGAAACCTAACATCTTTTTTTTTAAAAGGAAATATAAATTCAAAATTACCTCTTCATATCCTATCTAGGTCATCAGCGGGCTTACCAATTCACAAGATATCTTATCTTAAGTAAATATTCATTAAAACTTAAAAGCTGTTAATTATGATTCCAATAGCAATAATCAAACTATTGTTTCAAAACACTTTTCTTTATCAAACATGTCCTTTCTTTAAAACATTTGTAAAGCCAAAACTCTTAAAACAGGCTAACAAAAAAAAGGACAAGAAATCCTACCTCTTAAATGCCAAACCTGTTGGCTAGCCTCTCGGTATCCTAGCCTCTGCTTCCTTCAAAGCTTCTAATCTGATTCCTCAGTGAGCATTGTCACGGAACAATGTTTTAGGACATAATTCGTATTCTTAAAACAAATCAAGCTCAATCATACACAGTAATTTCCTATTAGTGCACCATAATCCAATTCAAAATTTCACAAATCACTTCATGGCTCAAATCATCATTCTAAGGATTTTGATCTCAAAAACATAGATTAAAGATGTTAATCTATCTACCTTGAGTTCCTAAATGAAGCTAATTCGGGTTCTCTTTGAAATTCGGGCCAAAATTAAGGTTTTAAGGCAAATCAGGGTTGAACCTTATGTCCACCGGTCGACTGGTGACATAGAGGTTCATCTCCACCAGTCGGCCGGTGGAGAAGAGATCGGTAGACCAGTTCGGTCGACCCTGGGAGCTAGACAGAGCGGCCGACATGGCCGATTTGAAGAAAACAAAGTAAAAAACCTGCAAATTCGAGTTCAATTCTGAAGTATTTTCAAAGAAAACAATAAATCCAGGTTCCAATTACTAAATCGAGTCCAAAGAACCGTATATCCCCAAATCTCACAGTGATTTCAACCAAAAATCATCAAAATCCAACTCAAACTGAAAATACGTTTTTTCAAAGGAAAAATATAAGATTCAAGAGAAGTTTTTCAGAAATCTTACTCCAAATCCTTCCTTTGATATTGAAAACTTCTTAAGCTTCCTCTTTGGTTCAAGATCTTAGTCAAAACTACCATAGAAACAAATTCAAAGAGAAAAAAGGAAGAGAGAAATGAAAGAGAGAGAGACAAGAGAGGGAGAGTGAGAGTGGTTGAGAGAGAGTGTCGTGAGAGAGAGTGCGGAAAAAGGGAAAAAGAAAAGAAAAGAAAAGAAAATGATAAAGATAAACATCAAAAGATATTTAGGAAAGCATATCAGAAATTGTGTCTACACATACTTCTGGGGTGAAAATATAAAAAATGTTTAAAATCCTTGAAAATATTCAAACTTAAATATTAGAAATATTTAATGAATATAATTAATCAAGTAAATCAAATTAGGCACACTAATAAATCACAATTAAAATAATTAATCTTGTTTAATTTCTCCCTTAAGGAATTTCGTCCTCGGAATTAGAGCTTACCTCATATTGTGAATAGATACGGATACTGGTCTTGCATCTTTGTTTGTAATTCCCACGTCACTTCCTCAACGCCATGGTGTTACCACAACACTTTCACTAATGAAATCTTGTGATGACGCAAACTCTTTATCTTCCGATCAAGAATCTGAACTGGTGCTTCCTCGTATGTCGTGTCATACTGGATCGGAACATCGTACCATTGCACCACAGCTTCTGGATCGAGTTGACATTTACGAAGCATAGAAACATGGAACACTTCATGCACGTGAGATAATTCAGGCGGTAAGGCGAGACGATAAGCCACGACGCCAACTCGCTGCACGATCAAGAATGGCCCAATGTACCTTGGCGTAAGTTTCCCTTTTATACCAAAACGAACAACTCCTTTGCGTGGGGAAACTTTCAACATAACAAAGTCACCTTCTTAGAATTCTGAAGGTCTACGTCTTCTGTCAACATAACTCTTTTAACGACTTGAGCTATCAACAATCGTTCATGAATCACAGCTATCTTTTCGTTATTTTCCTGGATAACATCTGGTCCAATAGTAAGTCGATCCTCCACAGAGAGCTTCAAATGATATCATGCCAATACTGGCCTGATAGCTGTTGTTGTAGGTGAGCTTAACCAAATGAAGATATTTCTTCCAGTTTCCACCACAGTCCAGAATGTAAGCGCAAAGCATATCCTCTAAAATTTGGATGACTCTCTTAGATTGTCCATCATTCTGAGGATGAAAGGTCGTGCTGAAATTCAGTTATGTTCCTATGGTTTCTTGGAAACTTCTCCAATATCTTGCATTGAAGCGAGTATCACGGTCCGATGTAATGGATAATGACACTCTGTGAAGTCTGACAATGTGCTCTAAATACAACTCTGCCAGTATTTTCTGGGAAAACATTGCATGGAACAGTATAAAATGCGCATAATTCGTTAGCCTATCCACCACAACATAGATGGCATCATGATCATGCTATAAGGACATAAACTCCATCGCCTTGTCATCTCGATAGCTTTGAGGGAAGTATTGTTTATTGAAAAGAGCTTCAAATTGATCCTAAGTCATTACAGCAACATTATGTCTTCTCTTTACTTGCTTCCACGAAGTACTTGCTTGACTTTCCAACTTATACACTGTAAATTCCACCCAGTACTCCTCTGGTACTCCCATAGTGTTTAAGTGTTTCACTATTGAATCAAACCAATACTCGGCTTCCTGGGGTCCTCCCTCACTATTAAATGTAGGAATAGGTCCACCTCTGAATTCACAAAAATAACTTTGCTTTCTATCCTCGGCCGGTTGCTCATTCTG